TTCTCCAAACCCACAACGATGAAATATACCAGTCAGAAGGACTTCAATTTGCATTTCTCTGATAACTTGTGATATATTTGCCTTCTCTCTTTCTTCTCCTGTTCACATCCTTTAATTTTCTATATAGGGTGCCCTTCATTTCCTTATTGATTTTTAGGAGTTTTTAATCTGGTAAAGAAGGGCGGGTACTCCGTCCTTGGTTCCACCCAGTTAGTATTTGTCATCACTCACTTGAAGCATCGACAGCATAGTGCTTAGATTTGTGAATGACATGACATGGGGAGGTATAATTAATGCTAAATTTCGGGGCGAGCTCAGACGGAAAGGATGAATCAAAAGAAGATAACCTTACGTAGGGATCCGTGTTAAAAGCATTCTGACTTTGTCTAACAACAACTATAGTCACGTGCTACATAACAACATTTCTGTCAGTGACAGGCCATGTATGCGCTGGTAGTCCCGGAAGATTACGATGCCTTTTTTTCCCCTGGAGTCAGAATCTCACTCTGTCACCCAGGCTGGAGTCCAGTGGCACAGTCACCGGTGCCACAGTCTCAGCCCACTGAGCCCAGGTGATCCTTCTGTCTTAACCTCTTAAGTAGCTGGAACTACAGGCATGCGCCCCCACTTCCAGCTAATTTTTTTGGTTTATTGTAGAGATGATGTCTTGCCAAGTTGCCCAGGCAACCTGGGTCTCCAACCCCTGGGTTCAGGCAGTTCTCTTGCCTCCGCCTCCCAAAGTACCAGCATTACAGGCGTGAGCCGCCGTGCCCAGCCATAATGTCATATTTTTACTGTATCTTTTCTTTGTTTAGTTACACTAATACTTCTCATTGCACTGCAGTTGCCTACAGTATTTAGTACAGAAACATGCTGTACAGGTTTGTAATCTAGGAGCAATAGGCTGTACCACATAGGCTGGGTGTATATAGGCTACACCAGGGAGATTTGTGTATGTGCATTCTGGGCTGTTCACAGAAGGATGAAATCATTTCTCAGAGTGTACACCCATCATTTGCATCATGACACATGACTGTACATATCATAGAATCATATATATAACCTTCAGTCACTGAGCGTCTGCTATATACCAAGAAGTACACAAGGCTTTTCTCATATATTAACTCCAGTGTTCACAATTTCACAAAATAGATAGCCCCATCTTCAGTTATAAATGAGAAATCTGAGACTCAGGTTACATGACTTGTCCAAGTTCACACAGCTTCTCAGTGGCAGATTCAAGTGCAGGTCGTTTGTTCCTGTTGGCCGTGCTGTTTCCACTTTACCTTGGAGAGACACAGCTTCACAACACTTGGGAACCCACTGCCTGTGAAAAAGCTTGGGCACAGCATGGCTGCCCACAGCTGATATATCTTCCATTTCAGTGTTCTGGATGGGGAAGCAATCACCCGTCTTACTCAGTTAGTTCAGACCTGGGATGTCGCTCAGATTCTGGGTACCACTTCATTTCGTGGTCATCGATGGCTACAACTGAATGTCTGTGGAAGCCAGCCCCAAACTGACCATTCCCAGCAATCGCTTGGTGACCACAGGACCAGAAATCTGCAAAGTGTCGGAACTCGGGTGCCCCTACGGGCTTGTTACTGCCTTTGTCTGCCTACCATGCTTGCTTTGCTCAGTTGTCTTTTTAATGGGATAATAGAAAATGAATTTTAATTACTGTAGTTAGTTGCATTACATTGTTGACGTTGGAAATGTGCTTGGCCCGTAATTTGCTAACAGAAAAAGGCAGTCCATAAAATTTGTTTTTGGTAAAACAAACCAGTTTTGAGATTTAGGATGTAGATCCAAGCGTAGCCACCCTTTTAAACACCCGCTCTCAAGTGAATTGAGTTTTCACGGTGGGGGACTGATACAGATGGAGACACCGCAACCCCAGCATGAGCGCCTGCGCTCTGGACTGAGCTTCCCCCGCTGGATCGACATTCGGGGAGGGTGCATGCGCGGTGCACCTGTGTGTGGCAAAGCTTTTTGTCGTTGTTGCTGTTTTAAAATACTGCCATGGAGAATTTTTACAGCATTGTGAATCTTTTCATACGTGCTAAAATCTGGCGCCTCGCTGCAGGCTGCCAGCAGCCAGCAGGGGTGGGAAGTGGGGCAGCTCCCGGGGCTCAGCGTGGCAGCCACTCGGCGAGCGCCACGGTGTATCTTTTCTTTCTAGTGGCTATGTGTTTTTCCGGGGTCCTACTCGCCACCCCGAAAAGGTCTTTTGATGATTGCCTGGTATTTTATTGTCTGTTGGAATAGCAGCCAGCCGTTGCATTCGCCAGTGGGATTGCTGTGTTCTGCTCTTAGAAAACCGCCAGGCAGTGGAGACCAAACGCTTACAGATGCAGCCTTTCTATGATTCGGGTCTCTATATCTTCTGGATAATTTGAGTTTGCTGGGATGATTCGCCTACAGGGAAGAAGGAATGCATATGTTTATTGGAACTAAGTGGATAAATGTTTTTAGAGCTGATAAAAAAGCTTTGGGGGCTACTAGATAGATTTTGGTTGTATTTTTCTTGCTATTTTTAACCTGATGGGCTGGATACGTGGCGCATTCTTGACTCACAGCTTTTAGGTCAACTTTCTCCACTCCTTGCGTTGCACATGTAGACTGGTCAGAAGCAGAACGAACTGCTTCCGGCCATTTCACACACAGCATTTGTGGAGCAAAGAGAGCCTTCCTCGGGACAAGCATTTTAAAGTTGAGGTTGCCGGTTAGCCAGTTTGTCCCATACCATAAAATGTCTTTCTTACAAAAAGGCCCAAGAGCAGTGTCGGGTGTGCCTTGTCCCGGGCCAGGATCCCCGTCCCTGCGTTGCTCGGGCCCTCGGCTGACCGACCAGGCAGGTGTGTGCCCCGCCAAAACTCCCACTCCTTCTACCACAGCCTGGCACGGGTGTGCGGGGTTCAGCAGGGACAGAAAACTGAATCCACCACTTACTGGCCATGAGCCTTCGGGTAGATCCATTTCTGCCTCCGTTTTCCCATCTGTGAAATGAGAGAAAGACGCCGAGACCTGTGTGGATGCCGGGTCTCAGCTGTTACCATTATCGTCGCAGTGATGGGTACCACAGTCGAAGCCCACCACCCTCCACAGCGACCTTCCTGAGATGCACATCAGATCCCATGCCTCTCCTGCAGAAAGCCCCTAGGATTTTGCAGTTCACCTGGCATAGTATCCAGATGCCTCGCCGCAGTCTCCTGGCCCTCCGCCCAGCCCGCCCCAACATCCGCATGGCTTTTTCCTGCTTTGACTTTCTCGCGGCTAGCTGTGTGTGACTGCACAACTAGGGGACGAGCTGCAGGAAGGCGGGGCTGCCGGACGTGTGTGGTGAGCAACCCGGACGGGCCTGGCCCACAGCAGTTACTTGGTATATTTGCCCAATGGTTGAATGAATGAATACCTACTGGTTCTGGTACTTATTGAACTCTAACACTTGCTTTCATGTGTATCAAATAAGGCACTTGAGTAAATATTGTCAAAGTAAAGTTAATTTCAGTTGGAACCATCAAAAGTTTTCTCAGGAGTTTATGAAAATGGCACAGGGGAAGTTGGGGGAAATACCAGGTTTTCATCAACTTCCTGCCACCTCAAGCTGACCTGGCTTCCCTGAGACTCTGCTCTCCCTTCTAGAAAACGCTGGAGGCCGAGATGTCTCTGGAACCCAGGGGCTGCCCAGAGGAGGGAAGAGGAAAAGGGTTGTGACCGGGAGACCCCTCTGCCCCCAATCTAGCTGGAGCCCCTCTGTGTAGATTCTCTTCTTATCCTGAGATTTCATATGAACTTGACTTTTCTAAAAGTCTGCATTTAAAAACTTTTAAAAAACCACTGAATTAGAAGCACAAAGGTTGTTTTTAGCTCATTCTATCCAGGTGGCTTAATTATATAAAGGAGGTAGTTTATTATTTTCTGCCCCCTCCTCTCCCTCCAAAAGATCACTGAACATTTTTTCAAAAGTATTCTAAAGAAAATTATACGTGAATGCGTAACAAAATTACCATCACTAAGATGTGAGCTCCACAAAACAGGATGTTGTCTGCTTGTCACATGATGTGCCTGGCAGTGCTTGCCCCGGAAATGCGTGTGTCATGGGCGGGGGGGCGGGTGGCGGTGGTGGTGGTGGTGGATGTTGAAGCCAGCAAAAACATATTTTTGCATGATGATATTATTACGTTGTAAAAACAGGTAAAATCATGAGATTTTTATAAGCAAATCTGTTGTTTTTCAAGATTATATTTATTAGATATACATGTTGTAATAGGTAGTTTTTAAAAAAATATTGTTTACTAAATGGCCAGTTTGTTGCAAACTAAAAGTATGCGATATGATGTTCTTTCTGTTTTTAATCCTTTTTCCTTTTTTGTTTTTAAAGTAGAATCCTTTCAGAATGCTAGCTTTCAGATAGGGAGTACTTTTCCTTTTTGGGGGAAATTGTGCTGTAAGAGGTATTTAAGATCATAATAATATTTGGAGACATCTTTAAGACCACAGCTGGTCATCAGTTGACTTTTAAATTTGGCAGCCCTGTTTGGAGTCGACAGAAAACATTTTACTGTGACTTCAAAACCAGTGTTAAGGAAGGTTAAAGAAAAAGTAGTAAATGTTAAGACACTGAACTGCTGACCTTCAGGGTGACTTTAGGAATAGGAATGAGACTGTCAGCTTTGTAGTCTTGAAAAAGCATGGCCTAACAAGATCAAAGAATCCGATGGTACGCAGGTATATGGGGCTTATCGATAAGGCTGCACACCATTCCCACGCACACACTGCTTGGCAGATTTTGCGTCTGGGCATGTTTTAGTATCTAAAGATGCCTATGACCCCACAAGTTCTGTGGCATAAAAAAAGTACACACAGGAATGTGAGTTTTTCAGTGAATGTGTGAAGAGCCTGCGATGACTAATCACAGCCTGTCGGCTGGGGGCCGCTTCCTCGCGTACGCCTGTTCCTTATGCACCTGTTCCTTATGAACGTGTCTTTCTTTCCAGGTAAAGAGGACGAGTACCCTCGGAAGCCCCTGGGGCAGCTGCCCCCTGAGCTGCAGTCCGGGGCCGTGAACCACCTGAGCAACGGACAGAGCAGCGTGGGCCGGCCCAGCCCCCGCGGCGGCAGCCGGAGGGACGGCGGGGCGTCGCCGCGCAAGAGGCAGGAGCCCTCGCCCCACCCTCAGAGCCGGACTGGCACGCCGGA